ACTGTGATATATATCCCATAGAAAGGGTTGGATAATAAAAGGGAGGGGTGTGAAGATTGGAGTTAGAATAGGTAGTAGAGAGGGAGATAGTAAGGGTGCTGGGTCGAGGTAGGAGAAGGATGAGAATGAGGAATAAATGCATGAAGGGATAGGAATAAGGAAAGAAGAAGGGGTGTCGGAAAGGGGGGAGTGGGGTGGGAGAGGGGTTGCAGATGGAGAGAAGTTTGGGGAGGAAGAAGAAACCTTTTTTACAAATATATAAAACATATTTATGGAATTTTTTGCAAATATTTATTTTAATTAATAAAAAATAAAAAAATTTAAATGACATGGCAAGTTATTTGTTATCAGGTGCAGTGCTGAGTTGGCTTTCCGTTAGCCAGCTCAACACTTAACAGAGCAGGGGTTAACGACAGGGACCAATTCTTAAATTACTAACTTTAGAAGGATCATTTCCTAACAAAAATATATGAAGGGACTAATCACAAAAATGTATATATTTATAGGGACCAAAAACATAATTAAGCTATAAAAGAAAGAAGTGTTTGGTACACACTTTCTGAAACAATTTTTATTTAATATTCTTTCTTTTATAATTTGCAACAAATTTTGGCCAATAAATAAGGTGTGCTAGACAGACTAAGTATTTTCAGTAGAATTAGTTTGCAACACGTTTTCTAAGAAATTTTAATTTAAGAATTCTCTCTTTTGTAATTTGCAATAAAATTTAGCTAATAAATAAAGCAAGGTAGACAAAAATAAGTATGTGTAGCAAAACATATATACAAGAAAAATTTATATATTTGATGCTTTAAGAATCTGAGTTAAATGTGACATTCACTTTAGTTTAGGAGCAATTGATAGAATATAATATTAAAATTTTCAAGGATTAAATAAGATTTTGGTCTTTAAAATAATCTACAATGTTTTTATTTAATGCTTCATTCTTAACTTTTTTTTAACTTAATCTCTGAATTTTTTTTTTATCTAGTCCCTCTATTAAGAATGTGTTAACTTATTTTGTAATTTATTTAGATAACATTCAATTTGACGTAGGACATAATTATGAAATTGAAATTTAAAAATATGAAAAGAAAGAAAGTGTAAATATTACATAACCATTTACATCAACTCTCTTATATGTTATATTATATGAGTCATATTAGATGTTACATAACTACACATTTAAAAAAAAACTAAATTTTTTTGAATAGAAGTATTATATGAAAAAGAAAAACAGTTTTTGAATATCAAAATCTCATTTAATTAATTTTCTTTTCATTATATTTCTAAATAAGTTATAAAATAATTAATATGAAATTTTTGGAATTTTATTAATAATAGTTCCTTATTTATTTTTATTAATAATCTTTAAAATATAAAAAATCATATATTTAATAAATATGTCAAATTTAACCAATATATCAAGTGTGATCTAATGTTAAAAAAATAGTTCTATGTTTTTTGATATATTTCCATTTTTATTATTTTCTAAATAAAATTATTTTATATTTTTTGTTTTCAATATGTATTTGCTTTTTTAATTTCATATTTTCTTATAAAGTAACAAGAAAATTAAAGAATGTTAAGATAAAAATAACATAACTTCCATTTCATTAAGTTTTTAAATATAATTTATCAAAATAATTTTTTTTCAATTTATTTTAAAAGATTTTATAGTTGAATTTGTCATATAAGTCTTCATAAAAAATTATTAAACTTCGTATAATAGAATCAAGTGAGATGGTATATATTAAACTTTCAGTCAACATAGTAATGCTTTAGTATTTCTTTTGGCTAGGCCATTGTCTCTCACAAGAGGCTAACTAAGAGAACAAACATTAATGTAAAAGAAAATTTGAGGCAAAATTTATATTTCTCTGCTGTGAAACAAACCAACTGCTAGCAGATCTCAAAATTGCTCGCTAATTAAACTTAAAAAAAGTAAGGTGATATATTAGAATGTCAAATTCCCTATTAGTTGACAACGTTCTCTTTAGCTTGTTCTGATTTGGAGTTTCAGTGTAAGTAATAGAGAAAAATTACAATCGATGAATCATTCACTCATGAAGTAAATTGAATACTTATAACTATTTTATTGTATAAATGTTTTAAGTCAATGCAAATTAATTGAAATATTCATTGAAAAAATACTACTAGTAGTAATGTAATGAATTGTTTTATTTTTAATAGTTTGCAGTTGATTTTTGAAGGTTCATAAGAGAAATCACAACTAGATTTTAAGAGACAAGGTTGAATTACTGCAGGAGATATTTGTGGGTACATGCATAACTAATTGTGGGGACACGAATATGATAGAGCATATAAAAATAGAATTTTCAGTTAAAAGCGACATCTTTTATTACACTTTTCAGACACAAAATTTTAGATTTTTTGTACATCTTTACGTACGGATGTCTTTCATTCTATTTTCTCCTTTTCTTTTGTATAGGATTTGGATAGGAAGTAGGGCTACATCCCTCCCTTCCTTTTGCTTTGTAATGGAACAGTGATTCCTACATTTACACCTCCTGTAAATTTCCTGTTAGACTTGAACATGAAACTTATTTATGCCATATATTTCAATATTTTTTTCTTTATTTCTATTATGTTTTGCTAATTTCATTGGGGTTAAGCAAAGATGAACTTAACCTTTTGTCCATTGTAATGAATTGAACATTGAATATAACTCAAATGCAATATGAAATCTAACATATTTAATTATGCATTTAATGCTTCCCTATTTCTTAACACTCAGAGTTGATCAAAAGGAACTTATAACTGGAAAGTTGTAATCTTTCTTAGATTTTCATTAAATTGCTCATTACTAATTATCTAAGAATAGAAATCTTTAATGGTATGATCATGTTGATTTCTAAATTTAATGCTGATCATCTTTTGCTTACCTAAGGAATTAGAAATCTATAATTGGTTTAGGATCAATCAACCAAAGAATTGGCATTGGATAATGTGAAAAATTAGACCATTAGACTGAATTGTATTTTGGGTTATATAGCTCATGATAAAATGTTATAAATTGTGTTATACATGCATGTATGTTTAAATAATAAATATATAGATATATCACTTGATATATATTCATTTTGGGTGCCCTTTTTATCTTTTGGATTGTTTTCGAGTTGTTGATAAACATTTTAGCAAGTGTACCAAATTGTTTGCAGTAACAATTAGATTTTATTGTCCACTGAGATTAATGTTAAGTACCAAACCACAAGAATGTTACTAATTGGGTTGAAAAAAAAGTGAAAATGTAAAAGGAAAATTTAGATAATGTGCAGAAAGTGGAGTTCTGATATGGTGATGACTCAGTTTCACCACCAATTATGATATGACTTTCTTGTTCCCAATTTCCCATAGTAATATACCAAATTTCAATTGTACAAATCAATAATTTAATAGTTGAAAAGTTACATGTTGTTTAACCAAAGCAATAAAGTACAAGCGTATAGAAAGAAGTAATTTTTCAACCGTTAGATTATTAATTTGTATGGTTAGGAATATTTAGTGTAAGTCTTTTAGACTTACACCTGGTGTCAATAATAGATCCTCTCTCTCTCTCTCTCTATACTCTTATTCTAAATATATTACATTTTTAGATACTTTTAGAAAGGAACAGAAAAAATTAAGAATATAGAATAAATAAAAAATGGTGAAATTTTTCATAAAAAATGGAACACTAAATTCAAAGTATTTTTTTTATTTAGAATATTGTTATATATAAAATTTTATTTGAGTAAAGTAAATTCAGATTATTCTGACATTTTTATTTGTTACAAAATAAAATTTTTGAATTTTCTGTAAAAATAGACGATTAGTGGAAATAACTATTTAGGTGCACCTAGTTATACTTTAGAAGAAGAAAACTACTCGTTAAATAAAGCTATTAGTGTATAGAGATGACTATCAATGAAGTAAAGCTGCCCCTATTGAGATTAATTACGACATAAGGTATATTAGGAGAGGGTTACCCATTAGATGGAGCTACCCTTAAGGGAGAGGTTGCCTTGGGAGGAGAGAACTATCAACAAGGTAAAACTTACTTGGACTTTGATTCTTTCATGAGTGACTCCTATAACATTATATTGACACTTACTTTGATGATTTGTTAGAAAACTAATATCATTTAATTTTCATATACGCCTACTTTATTATAGTACTTGTGATTGAAATGATATTTTTTTTAATGGTATCTCTCTATTTTACTAAACTCTTGTTCAGTCTATGGGACTCATCTCCTATCTATTTAATAATATTTTTAGACTATTAGATAGCAAAATTGCTGGTTATTAGAAATATTAGTCTAATCTAATAAAATCTTTATTGATAGGCCTCCATTATTTTAGTGGTATTGATTTTTATTATATTTTGAACATTTTACAATTTTTAAAGAGTTATACTTTTATTTTGATATATATATATATATATATATATATAAAAGATGTTTTAATTTTAATATTATAAAATATTAAAGTTTGACTGATTTAGTTGAGTTATAAATCAACTCTGACATTACCACATTTTGATATAATAAAAATATAGAGAAAACTGTGAAAATTTTTGGCAAATTAGTCATATTACTTGATTCAAAAAGTTTACTATATTGTGTTTTAATTTTTCAGCATGTTTCTCAAGTTAAGTGATATTTATAGGTAAATTATCTTAAATGCCGATTATGGGCCTATTTTTTAGTAGTAACATATATTTTTGTTTAACTCTATTTTAATAAATTATTTTCCCATTTTTACTATTTTGAAAAAACAAAAAAACTTATATCAGCCAAACAAGTCATAATCTTAACCACATAGTTGGGACATTGAAGTCAAGATGCGTGTTTGAGACGTTGAAACAATGTCCGTCTTTTCTCTATACACGCGCATTTGAAAAATAAATTGAAGCTGACACTAGAAATATCTCAAAAAGTGTTAAAAAATATTTATCCATTTTTGTTTTAAATCATCGAAGTTAAGTCCGTTTTTTATACGTTGGATATTTGAGGCAATGTTCGTGTTCGAGTCAAACAACCTTACTTCAAACTTATATCTGAACACTGTTTCTGCTCTTCGCTGATGAACATGGCCGAATTTTTCGTCTTCGATATTGCAGAATCACTGCTATGTAAGCTTGCTTCTCACGCTTATGAAGAAGCTTCTCGAGCCTATCATGTGTATGAGGATTTTCAAGGGATCAAAGACACTTTGTCAATTGTGAAAGGTGTACTATTGGATGCTGAGGAGAAGAAGGAACAGAAGAATGGCTTGCGTGAATGGCTGAGGCAGTATCAATGCGTCTGCTACTATGCTGAAGATGTAGTTGATGAATTTGATTGCCAAACATTGCGAAAGCAAGTTGTGAAAGCTTCTGGCAGCATCAAGATGAAGGTAGGACACTTCTTTTCTTTGTCCAATCCTCTTATTTTCCGTCATAGGATGGCTCGTCAAATCAAAGATGTTAAGGATAGATTGAATAAGATAGCAGCTGATGGGAACAAGTTTGGCCTTGAGAGGATTGATGTTGACCAAAGAGTTCTGCAAAGGAGAGAAATGACTTATTCCTATGTCGATGCTTCTGGTGTGTTAGGAAGGGAGAATGATAGGGAAGAAATCATCAAGCTTTTGTTGCAACCTCTCCCTGATGGTGGCTGTGATCAAAGCCTGTGTGTTATTCCCATAGTTGGAATTGGTGGCTTGGGGAAGACCACACTTGCGAAGTTGGTGTTCAATGATAGGAGGATGGATGAAGTTTTTCAATTGAAGATGTGGGTCTGTGTCTCTGATGATTTTGATATTAGGCAGATCATTGTTAAAATCATCAACTCTGCTTCTGCTTCTGCTTCTGCTTCAGCTCCAACAATTGCTCTTGGTCTCAAAGAAAATGTCAACCACTTAGACATTGAGCAGCTACAGAGAATTCTCAGATATAAACTTTTTGGTCATAAGTTTTTACTCGTCTTAGATGATATATGGAATAATGATCGTACAAAATGGATAGAGTTGAAAGACTTGATAAATACTGGAGCTGTGGGAAGCAAGGTCTTGGTGACAACACGTAGTAACTCAATTGCTTCAATGATGGGCACTGTTCCCTCCTACAATTTAGCAGGCCTTTCTCTGGAGAATTGTTTATCTCTGTTTGTCAAATGGGCATTCAAGGAAGGCGAAGAAAATAAATATACAAATCTAGTGGAGATTGGAAAGGATATTGTGAAAAAATGTCGAGGGGTTCCATTGGCAGTAAGAACATTAGGAAGTTCCCTGTTCTCAAATTTTTCGTTAGATAGTTGGGAGTTTGTAAGAAACCATGAAATTTGGAACTTAAAACAAAAGAAAGATGACATTTTACCGGCCCTTAAGTTGAGCTATGATCAAATGCCATCCAATTTGAGGCACTGTTTTGCTATGTTTTCTCTTTTCCCTAAAGATTTTGGCTTTAGTACTCGTAAATTATTTAATATTTGGCTGGTATTTGGATTGCTTCAATCTCCAGATGGAAGTCAAAATCTAGAGAATGTTGCAAGACAGTATATTGCCGAGTTACATTCAAGATCATTTCTTGAGGATTTTGATGACTTTGGTCACTTGGACTATTTCAAAGTACATGATTTGGTACATGATCTTGCACTGTATGTTGCGAAACCAGAGTTTCTTGTGATAAACTCCCACACTCGCAATATACCTGAGCAAGCAAGGTATTTGTCAATTGTTGAAAATGTTCCACTTAGCCCTGCTTTGTTCCCCAAGTCCAGAACTGTGAGAACTATGTTATTTCCCGTCGATGGAATAGGTGTTGACTGTGAAGCTCTATTGCATACATGGATAACAAGATACAAATACTTACGGCTTTTAGATTTAAGTGATTCTTCATTTGAGACCCTGCCTAATTCAATTGCTGAATTGGAGCATCTGCAAGGCATCGATCTATCAAATAATTGCAAAATAAAAAGACTTCCTCATTCTCTTTGCAAACTACAAAATTGGAAACTTTTGTCAGTCAGAGGATGCGTGAATCTTGAAAAATTGCCTAAAGGGTTAGGGAAGTTAATCAGCCTTCAACATTTGTATATAACCACAAAACAATCGGTTCTGCCACAGAATGAATTCGCAAGCTTGTGCAATCTGCAAACTTTGAGTTTTGAATATTGTGACAAATTGAACTTTTTGTTCAGAGGGGTACAACTCCCTTCCCTTGAAATTTTGCTTGTTCAATCATGTGGGAGCCTAGAGTCCTTACCTTTTTATATTCTTCCTGAATTAGAGGTTCTACTAGTAATGCGGTGCGATAAGCTAAATCTATCGTTGACCTATGAAACCCCAATCCAAAAGTTAAGGATGAAATTTCTGCATCTTGAGCATTTTCCAAGGCAAATGACACTGCCAGAATGGATTCAAGGAGCAACTGGCACTTTACAGACATTATTAATTTTAGATTTTCCTAATCTTAAGATGCTTCCTGAATGGCTGACAAGAATGGCTCGTCTTAAAACACTCCATATTGTGAACTGTCCTCAATTGTTATATCTCCCAAGTGACATGCCTCACCTCACTGCTCTTGAAGATTTGACCATAGATGGTTGCCCTGAGTTGTGTCAAAAATGTCAACCCCATTCTGTTGAGTACTGGCCCTTGATTGCTCACATCAAACACGTTTCCATTGCAGATCCAAGACAGGAGGGGAAACTCGTTTATCGAATGCAATCGCGGCTGCGGTTGAATTTGCGCGGTTAGTAAAATTGAAATGTTTTCTAGAGCTAGAATTTACTATCTAGTACAAAATTGACTTGGGAGAAATTCCAGAAGCTGAAACAAAATTTTGTTTTGTCTTTTTGTTCTTCCTTTCTTAATTCTGATTTACATACGTCAAGTCGAGTTTATTTCACTTGGGTTGGGTATATCTAATGCACTATTCTGGTTTTATTTGACATGCTACCTTGTTATAACAAGCTAGCATGTCTTTACCCTCATGCTCTTTAGTGCCTGTTTCTGCATACGTCGAAATGGAGTTTCATATAATTCAAATTCTCAATATCGTTAAAATCCTGATTGAGAGGCAGTGACTTATTTTCAAAATGAGGAAACTCTGATTTGAGCCCTTGGTATTAGCAGTTTGGGCAGTTTCGTTTCCTAATTTTTAGTACCATAACTTGTTAACTTATGTGACCCATTCAATCCATTATACACGTTCATTTTTTCTTTGCAGGACGTTTTGATCTTTTACTGGTTTTTCGGTTACCATAACTTCTTCTTGCTCTAAGCTCTATGATGGATAGAACTCCATAAATACACATGTATTCCTCTGTTTTGGGTCACTAAACCTGCTTCTCTTTTCAGAAAAAAGAACACCATCACATTTGAGTGAGTGAGAATTTAGAAAAATCAAAAGTGTATGGATTGGAAAAGGTGCGAATCTGATTAGTAATGGCTGGAGATTAACTTTTGTTTTTGATTCCATACTAGCTTTCGTATGTCTATTCATCTTTCATTTGGTAATAGAGCATCATGTGCTTATGCCTTGCTTTTTTTTTTTCCCCAAAATTTGAAAGTTTTAATTGATATGGATCTTGTGTGTTTTGACTCTTTTAATTGAATCTGGAAATGAAAACTAGATTGAAATTTGTTTTCTATGTTTTATGTGTCAAAAAACATGTTTTGCACGTTTTATATGATTTGAAAAATGGCGGGTTTTGATTTGGGTCTAGAGTCACAAACCGACTCACAAACCAAGTCAAACTGACTTGGCTCAAGATTAAAGATGACTCAAACTGCGGTAAATGTTAAGATTTAGTAAATTGTTACATGAATTTCAACACTTATTTATTTAATAAATTGAATTTGGATTGCAATTTCTTTTTAATTTAGAAGAATTTGAATTTAAATAATTAATTAGGCTTAGAGATTGAAACAAAGATTTTCTTTGTTTTCTTTTCTTAAAATTCTTTGTTTACAAGAGTTTAATGAGGATGAAAGGCAAATGAGAGTGGGAGATTTGATTTTGATCCATTTTCATTCAAGTGAAAATACTCTCTTAAGCAAGAATGCAAACTTAGGTCTTTGCCTAGTTTTCGCTTAAACAAGAACCCCTCACTTAAGTGATAATGCCTTTTTAACTTGAGCAAGAATTTATTTACTCTACTTTTAAAGAAAGAAGAATCAGAAAGAAAAGGGAGACAGAGCGGAAAAAGAAATCTAGCAAGAGGAAGGTTAGGGCACACATTGGAGAAGATTGGTGAACCTTTCTTTATCCATTTTTCCTTTCTTTCTTTTGTTATAATGGACGTTAAACTCCCTTTGAGATTGAATATAATCTTCTACTCTAAAATATTTTGATGATTTATATATAGTTATCATTTGTATAGATGTTGGTAATTTTATTTTGTTCTTAATACTTGATTCCATTTCAAATAATAGTATTTTATTTAGGATCTAAGATTTAGTTGGAAAGTAAATCTTAGAACCAGATTGAATGAAACTCACTCAATCTGTTGTGATATTAGGGATAAATTTCAATATATCAATTGTTTATTAACTCTTGTTTTTAATACTAGAGGATTCATTGAATATTGTTAGGAACCGTGTATTTGAGGATTTGATATAAGGAAACAGAGAGTGTATCTTGTCTATAGAATAAATTTTAAATATTTATTCATCAAAATATGGAAGAGGATGGAATAATGACATTCATTCCCAGTTCAACCCGTGATATTTTTATAGCATAATTAATTTTAATTCTTGAAATTTCTGAAATCCCTACTCAGAACATTTGTGCAAGCAACATTAATATATATTTTTTTATTAAGATATAGACATCATAAATATGTCTACCAATCCTTGTGAATACAACTACTCAAACTCCCTTACTAAAACGAAGGCTTAGTATGTGGTGTTAATTGAAACTAGCAAGTGAACTAGGTGATTATAGCAAGTAATAAAATATAGAAGTGTGAGTTTCGAGTATCGTTCGTAGGGATTGTATGCATTCGATTATCAATTCACAAGATTCAGAGACTATTCAAGCTAAACGAAAGTTGTAGAAATAGGAAATTTAAAAAACTAGGACATAAAATGTAGCAAATGATGAAGGTTGATGATAACATAGTGCAAGTGACTAAAATGAATTCATTAATTAAAAGGAGTTAGGGTTGATTTCACCTAATCTTCAATTGCAAGCCTGATTATATTATGAATCCCCAGCTTTTATGACTGGTTGATGATCAAATTCTCTAATTTAATCAAAGTTTAATTCTTTTACTCATTAATCCAAATATCCAATTAATCACCCTTATTGCTTCTGTGTGAATCAATCAAATATTGCATGAAGATAAAAAAAAACTCAACAGATCACAAGATTAATAATACTTATTCCTAATATCTCACAATCTTGACATTCACCTCAGATCAGAGTTATTCACTCAATTTTCATTGATGTAAACGGTAACATCCTTACTATAATTCAAATAATTTTCCTTAATAATATATAATATTTTGAATAAAATTTAATGAAATTCGTAAAGGTTTTGAATAGCTTTGGAAAGTTGTACAAATATATGAATATAAACTAATAAACGTTAGCATATTTTATAACTTTATTTGTATAAAAGTCTCATTCATAATATAAACAATACTATTTTAAAATAAATTAAATTTCTAAGTAAAGTTGGATATAATTTAAAATTTAAAACAATTGAATACCAAGTATTACATATACATCTTAAATCATCATTTACAATAAGGTTTGTCAAAATATTGTAAATTCTAAATGGAAACTCAATTAATATTATTACATTTTTTTAAAATAAATTAATCATAACAATGTAGTTCTCTTCCTTACAATCCATTGCGAGTATGTTCCTAGGACGAATCAATCTTCTTTATCTCTTATTTTTATTACTTGAAAATATTAGTAGGAATGAATATCTTTTGTCCCACTAAACATTTATTTGATTAAAATAGTCAAAATATTATACTAGTAGGGATGAATATCTTTTGTTCCACTAAACATTTATTTGATTAAAACAGTCAAAATATTATAGAAAATTAATATTTAATAAACATGCATCAAAATAGAAACAATTTATTTATACAATTTCAAACAAAAATCAACCATGCACATTATTTTATATTTAACTAAATACCATCTTTCAATCCATAACTCTATGCCACTTTATCCATTTCAATTCAATATTTCATTAATTAAAAGTACTCTAGTTACTCACAACCCCTAAATCACTAGCAATATATTTTTCTTAGTTATGATGGACTTACGTCAACATGGATAGTTGTTGTTGACCACCACATATAGATACAACGTGTGCTTTATTAGGCATTCATAGCAAATGTATAGTAGGAGTTTAGGTCAGGAAATAAGTGTGAGACCTATGAATGCTTTCGCTACTATTTGTGTACACATAAGCTATTAGCATTCATCACCTCATTTCCTCCGGATTTTCCAAATCGGCTTCGGATTTTATACCCCAATATATCTCTGAACTATTCATATGATAACTCAACAGTGGCACACACACAAGGTCATACTGTTTACACTAATCCATATTGTTCTAATACATGTTTTATAATCACACTAATCAATATATCATGATATATGTATTGTAATCGCACTGGTCGATGTACTATAACACACATATTATAATCACACTAATCAATGTATTTACAACACATGTATTAATCATCCTTTACCCTTTTTCTCACATTTTCTAAAAAATTCTCAATTATTCACACCAATTCTTTAATTCTTTACTTTTCACTTATAACATATTTTCCTTCATCATAAGTATATATCCAAAGATCACACTCTTTCAGTCTTAATACATATAGGATACTATTTCAATATTACTCGTATACACATAATAATAATAATAATAATAATAATAATAATAATAATAATAATAATATTGTAAAAACTCCTTAGAAACTTAGTTTACTCATACTTTTGCTGTAAAATCTTATCTTGATAATTTCATAAATAAGTTATCGGTCTTTCATGCCCATTAATTTCATTCTTTAGTATTAAAACCTAAGGAAAGACTAGGGTTTTATGGAATATAGGAAAAAAAAATTAGGGTTTGTAAACTAAAATGCATGAGTAGGAGTTAGCGTTCAGGATCAACCCTCCTTACCTGAAAACACATCTTTAAGACTAAGTTCTTTGTGAGCTTTAAAGAAAAGCTCCATGTTTTGATGAGAGACACTATCAAAAGACCAAAGTTCTTCTTAGATTTGAGTAGAATAAATGTTTGTTCACATTGGAGAGAGGTTCAGAGTTAGAGGAGGCTTTCTTTGAGAAGGGAGAGGGAGAGGTGGTTTTTGTGAAAAATAAAATTTTTCAATGTGAACTCCTTTAAATACCCTTTAAACTTGTGCATTCTTGCTTAAGCAAGCAGACTCTCGCTTGAGTGAGCTCCTTCTCACCTGAGTGAGAAAACTAAATAATAGTTTTCCAACCTTTTTTTGACAGTCTTGCTGGGTAAGAGGTATTCTCACTTGAGTGAAAATGAGTACAAAAAGTTCCCAAAATTTTCTTAGACTTATCACCTGGGCGAGCCACTTCTTACCTGATCAAGCCATATTTTCACCTTAGAGAGAGGATAGTTGGGGCGATATTATCCTCTCTCACTTGAGCGAGACTTATCTCGCTTAAGCGAGAATGCTTCAGAAAGATTAGTTTAGAATGACTTTGTCTCTCTTGAGTGAGAAACTATGAACTAAAATTCCTATTTTTTCAAAAACAAGGGATAAAAAATGAGGTTGTTACATAAACACTCTAAGATCAATTTAACTGAGTAGCTAATTCAAGAATTGCATTAAGAAAATAGATGAGTCTTCAATACAATCAATAACCAAAAATCCAGAATAACTGATAAGTCTGTATTTTGATACACTTTTCCAATACATTCATACAGACTTATAAATAAATTAAAGGAATTTTTACTCATTTATTTGTTGTAGATGAACATATTTAAAGGTACAAAGGGCTTATGAATATTTTAGGCATAATTTCAAGAGAATTATGTCAATTAAGGATAAAGCACACACATGCTTTGTTATCATGCACGACCGTGCTCCACATATGTACGCCCATGTTTCAAGTATAAGCATGATCATGCATTCATATGACACGACCGTGCTTATTTGCGTGAACCACACTTTCAACAAAATTTAGGGTCTTCAAACCCTATTAAAGGAGACATGGAGGCAGTGACTAAGGCATCTAAATTTTGCACTTCACTTTTGAATTTTTGTGTTTACTACCTTATCTTTTCCGTACGAAATCTCTGGCACATTCTTGTTGGGACTTAGAACTTTAAGCGATCAAACATGAAGAATGGAAACTCCCTTCTAATTTGTTTTTCACCTTTTGTTTATGACTTTATTTACAATTGTTTTAGTTTTTTTCTTTAGCATGAGTAGTTAAATTCATAGTTAGGGTTATGGAGATTCTTGTTCATAAATTTATGTGATTTTAATGATTAAATCTAGGATTGATTTATGTTGTGATTAGTGTTTATCCTATAGTGCTTAATTGTGTGTTATGAATTG